GGAATATTTCTTGTAAATGACTTTCTTAACTTGGACAAGGTTGATGGTAAAATAAATGGACAGAAAAAAATAAAAATTTAGATTTATTTTTTGTTGTTGTTGTTGTTTAAGGGAAAATTAGTTGCCATTGTGTGAAATGAGTTGCTTAGTTAGGAATTGGATTGAAATCGCACAACTTGTGTTTATGATACAAATCGAAATGTTGTCGCTAGTTTGATCGATTGATTGCTGAATATTTATTGTAGAAAAATGCGAAGGGTTTGGGCTGTTTTATATAATAAACTAGCAATAATAAATTCTTTTAATTTTATGAACCATAGGGAAAGTACATTTTCTTATTGTTTCTTGCGAAAGGGTGAAAATCGTCAAATGAAAATTCATTGTTGTGTTTTATTCGGACTATTGTTACACAATGAACTAAGGTGTCTGTCCTTGGATAAGTGAAATCGAAACCCAATGTCTTCGAACGAAAGATCATAGTTGGTGTGTAGGTTAAGATCAGATTTGGTACTATTTGTATCAACTTAATATTCAGAGCTAGAATTAAAAAAAAATATAGTAAAATATCAATTTATCTTTCAAATCGGTGCAATGAGGATTCAATACGGTACTACACATTACCAGTGATGTTGGCTGTTAGGTACGAACATTTTTTATTGATCCATTGGGATGAATCTCATTTTGTAATTTATAGTAAATATTATCATTTTCATATATTGGCATGTTAATTAAAACATGTCGCAAAATAGAATACAAAAAAAATGGTTTTCATTAAAGATCGAATATAACATTATATTTAACAAGCGACAGTTACATGAAATTAAAGCTCCAACCACATGTGGAACTTTGAACTTCTGATGTAAACAAAAATGGGTGGGATATTTATATATTACAAATAAGTTAACATCCGTAAACAATAAACTACAGATGACCAGAAACATAAAATTTCGGTCAATAATATTATATTCCTTATATTTTCACCATAGAGTATTGACATTTATGAACAGTGACGTCTCCCACCCCACGAGAAACTATGTTATACTGTTGAGACTTCTGATGTAAGGAATAATAAAGGGGGAAAAATGAACATACCAAAAAGTGACCTGTACCGACAATATTACCAAGCGATTGGTGTAAGCCATAATCCATACGACGTACAAATTCAGCAATCTTTAATGGGGGTTTTCCTAAAATCTTAAAACCGGAAATCCAGGTCCGATATTTATAACGTATGGTAGGTTGCAATATATGTATAATATCCTCAAAATACTGCAATTTACAGGGCAATGTTATATGTGGGGCTATACCATAGTGTGATCAATATTGATTACATTGTGTAGGAATTACCGAACATTTGAAGTTATGAGGGGCTATGCCTAATTGAGGACCGATATAGTTTAATTTCAAACTAAACATTTTCGTTTTGTATCACAATACCTTCCTTCACCCTTAATATAAAATCGGTATGTATTTTTATATATGGGCTAGGTCTAAATGCGGACCGAATGCTCCGAAGATAGAATGATTACAACAGATGTCTGAATCGTCTTAGAATTCAATACTTTTAAAGGTAAAAAATTACAATTTACAGTACAGAATATCCAACCTCATTTATATGGGTCTACCGGAAAAAGTGGACCTATATTTATAATTCTTTGTGGAGAGATTTAGTACAAAAACCCAAAAATGTCGGAAAAATGGGAGTAGCTTATATTGGACTATCCGAAAAAGTGGACGTATCATTATAATTTTTAGCGGAGAAAATTGGAACCCGATATAAACACAAAAACGAATTTCAGCAAATTTGATCGAAAAACGCGCTTAAGGATCCCAAAATACCGAAAATTTGGGGACCGGCATATGGGGGTTACCAAAAAAAGTAAACCGATATTTATAATTTTTAGTGGAGAAATTTGGTACCCAATAATAATCCATTGTATCAAATTTCAGCAAATTTGATTGAAAGGCGTGCTCAAGAATCCCAAAATATCATAAATTGGGGGTACCCTTGTATGGGGGATATGCCTAAACGTGGACCGATATAGCTCATCTTCAAAATTAATCTGCCTTCGAAATTTTGGCGATCTATCTTTATTCGTGTAGGGGATAGAATGATTAGACAGACGGACATGCTTATAGTATCATCTAATTTTACTCCGATCAATAATAATGTATATACTTTTTTGAGGGCGGAAATGATTATTTCGATAAGATAAAAACGGAAAAATAAACTTAAAAAAATAACAATATTAAATTGTTCTTAAACATTATTATCGCTGTACGAAATAAAAAACCACAAACATAATATTATAAAATCAGGGCTCAAAGGATTAAACAAAAAAAAAAATATTCTTAAAATTCTCCAGCATACCACTCACTCATTTCACACTCATCAACTACTTCATTTTATCTCATCACATTCGATTCATAAAAAAGTTGACATGTTTCGAAGTTCAATTATCCTTGTCTATGTCACGCATTTCCCCTTTCAATTATCCTTTTGTGGCTCATAAATATGCGAAAAAGTTTGCATTTGCTTATTGTTTGCCATACATTTCGTGAATACATTTTGCATGAGCAAAATTTAATAACGTCAATATGAAGAAGAGAATAAAATCACGTTTACTGTGGAAGTTTTTTATGATTGTCTGCTAAATAAGAGGAATTTAAATGGCGAAATCAAAATGCACATATGATGTATGTATGTGAACTTCGTAAACTTTATGAGGTATTATTGCTTCAAACTTTGGATTTGTGTATTCTTTTGTTTTGCTAAAGGCATTTTAATTTAAGACATTTTTGTTTAAATGTAATGATAGAAGACCGCAACAGGAATAACAAACAAAAACTTTCCCTGCAAAAAATGATCATTAAATATGCATGTCTGCCATAAACAGACGGCAGCAGCAGAGCACTAACAACAACAACCATAATATATCCTGTTTCAAACAACAACAAATAACAAGGAACAGTCACAATTGTCAAATGAAAAACAAGGACGGCGACGACGATAACAAAGTGAAATAGTCATGCACTTCAGTTGTTACTCTTTCGGGAGTGGGTCCATGGAAGTAGTACTCGTTACTCATGCAACACATCACACATGACCAAGAACGAAGAACGAACCAACAAACAATGGAATGAACGATAAACGACAACCACAACACAACACAGCAACGGAGAAGAAAAGTCAACAAGTTCGATTGTCGTCAAATATGGCAAAGAACATAAATTTCCTTAGCCGTTCAATCACACAAACACAAACACACACACATTCTCACAAACCAAGTTGATGGTGAAATAAACAAGTTTTCTACTGAAACACCAAGAATCGACCACAAGCAAACACTCACTAGCTCAAGTATACAATTCCTTAGGAATGAAACAAACACGGGCATACACACACACCCACACTGACACACTGAGTTCCTGCTCTTGAAAACGACGTGTGTTAAGGAAATGTAGTGGAAGTGAGTAAAAAAAGTATAATGAGAAAGTAAGCATAAACAACAATAAAACTTTAGATAAGTGACGATAAAACAAGAGAGCAAAAACATTTACAAACACACATGCCCACACACACGGACAATTGTCATGCAAACATAATCTATTGGTGTGAGTGTGTTGTTTTTGCATGTACAAGTTAAGAATTATTGTCAGTTTTCTTTGAAAAGAAGTGAAAAGTCTTCTTGGAAAAGCCGGTAGGTAAAATACGTACATACATACATACGTGCATGGACAGACAGATAGACTGAAGGCTGTCTTCTGTTGGCCTTCCTGCTGCCGTTTGTGTTTTGTTGTTCGCCAAACAGACATGCTGTGACATGTTAAGTAAAAACTTCTTCTCAGTTTTCATAGTCAAACGAGCGAATGACAGGACGAGTGAAAAATTCACCCTTAGAGAATATGAATAAACAATAAATGTGCTAAACTCACAATACCACAACAATAATAATAATAACACAACACATGGAGACACCAACACAAACATAACACACACACATAAATATACCCGCAGCTAAACAATCACACGCGTATGTAGATTCACAAGTATGACAATGCAATAGGACACTTGCTATTTGACAGTACATTTACATACACACAAACAAATACGTACGAAGTTTTCATGTTACTTGTAAAAAAAAAATACGAAAAATAACTGTCAAAAACTGAAATTCCCTTCAAATGCAAAGTAACGAGGAATAATTTAAAGCGGTTAAATTCTGTTTTTGGGCCACAGTGAAAATAGACGATGGAAAAAAATGTTATTAGAATTTTGTGAAAAAATTCAAAATGTTATATTTCCGATCTGAATAATATTAAAGGGGACTTTAGTTACTTGCTACTTCCGGCATACTGTTGCCAGACATCAACTTGAACATTATTTATGTATGTCTTGTCTTGTCCTTTCGTGAAGTTCAATTTTACTGGGTGCAACTGACAGGTAGTTTTTTATGCTTAGCTCCAGAAATAAACAAACGGACTAAGGACACCACATTCAACATGTATTTGCTTGCAGTGGTGTAAAAACCATTGCTATCAGTCGATGGAGCTTGGATAACATCGCAAATTCTTGCATATTTGAAATCAGCTAATAGCAAAGAAAAAAAAAACATTTCTACGATTTTCAATGACTTGAAAATTAATAATATTAATTTGAAGACTTAAAATATACATATTGTGAGTTGAGTATTTGTTGTTGTGAGTATCACCTCAAATAATTATTTTTAAATATTACTCAAGAAGTTCCATCTTGTAACTGAACCTATACAAATGCAATAATATGATCGTATTTGATTATTTTTGTGAATCTGACTTAACAACAGAGGGTTATGAATCACTTTTTTGCGTGGCTTGGCAGTTTTTTGTCCTTTTTATTTTCCTTTTAAAAATGTTATTTTGGGATGCTTGAAGTAATTGTCGACATTTTCATATTACTAAATATACAAATTATTATTTTTTAATATTACCTAATATTAATTTCATGTCTTTATTTTCAGTATGGGCGTTCAATTGCAGCACGGACATAGTCATGGTGGCGGTTTGGGTCACAGCCATGGTGGTGGCAAAAAGAAGAAGGGCAAAAAATCATCCACAACACATACTAGTGACATTTCTTTGACACCGGCCCAAAAATCATCACCATTCCCAGAATTTGTCAACGAAAATGGCAGCTTGTCACATGTCGTTTGTCCCACACCGCCAACAGAAACATTGGAAGGTGGTGTTTTGCCCGATGCTGAATTACCATCTGCTGGTTTGCAAACATTTTCCTATCAGAATTCTCGTTCGGTTAGTGAAGTTAGAGCTGAAATGGCTGCTGTAATGGCCGAAACATCTGTGGCTACCCACCATCATGGTGGCGAAGCTGGCAAAGAAGCTCAAAACATGAATGTCCGGGCGGCCTATATACATGTACTGGGTGATATGGTACAGAGTATTGGTGTTTTTATTGCTGCTATAGTTATTTACTTCAAACCCGAATGGTCATTGGCTGATCCCATTTGCACGTTTGTCTTTTCGATAATTGTGATGTTTACAACGTTTGCCATTATAAAGGATGCATTGCTGGTATGTTTAAATTCACCTATCCTTTGTTTATGATAGAATTTAATTTGTTTAAATATTCGCGTTTTCCCTAATTGATTTTATTTTATTCGCGGTTTAGTGGTTTCAAATCCCATGACATTTATTTATAATTTTTCTGATGGAAAAAATTCCCTTAGTTTCGTATGGTTGTGTGTGTGTGTGCGTCCTATCATGCCATCATTTGATTTTAACTTCACCGAATGCAATAATGGAATGTGGAAATGTTGTTTTTTTTCGGTTTTCACCGAGACTAAACAACTCATTTATCATTTTATTTTAGATATAAAATATTCTGTAAATGTAAATTTCAGTTGCCGCAATTTTTGCAGCCGTCGTTATTTTACTGTTTTCAGTTGTTGTTTTTTTAATTTTATCTCAGCAATTGTTTGTTTTTTGTTCATAAATTGTGAAGGTTTATTTGAGTGTGTCGAACACATTGCAGTCATATTAGATTAACAGTTCATTTGATGAACTTTCCAAGATGGTCACCATAACGTATAATTTATAACATCATTCATACGCACCAGTACACTAATGCGAGCAATACTTGACTTTCTCTAAATGTCAGAGGCAGAAAATAAGGCAATTGGAATGCTATGCATTTATAGAAAAATATAATAATTGTGATATTTATTTTAATTAAATTAATGTGAAGAGAAATTGAAATATTGTTTCCAAACATGCATTCGTTTCAATCTATTAAATATCTAAAATGTCTATTCTTTTGTTTTTATTTCTGTTCGGTTTCTGTGTTTCCCTTTCCTGTGGCATGGAAATAAATCGCTTCACTAGAGATTTGAATTTCGAAATTTTGCAAAGCTTATTTTGTAATTTGATCTTGTTGCCGTAGTAATGTTTTCGCCAAAAAACCAGAATAACAAAAGCAATAACAACACCTCCATCAGCGACAACTGCAAATTATTTATTTATTTTATTGTTTGAATTTAGAACAGAACACCGACATAAAAACACAACTTGTTCTGTCTGATTATTTTTTGTTAACGATTTCTGATTTCTGTTTTTTCTTTTTCGTTTCATATTTACATTATAATTTTCCCGCTAACCTGGATGATGTTGCTAACGCCACCTCCGTGGTACCTTTGGAATTGTGCAAAACTCTCATCGAATAAACACACGTCTCGGTATTTGAACTGTCATCGCCTGCGGTTAAAAATGATAAATATACATTGTGTGATGGTGTTACGAACCCCTCTCGCCGCTGTGCTGCTGATTGCCACCAACACCATTGGGCCTACCCCGTTTGCTTTTGCTGTCATGCTTTTTCTACTGTGGACGCGTATCTCATTGCACGGACTTAGGTTCTCATGGAGGGTACACCAAGCTATTTGCATTATGCGGAAGTTCTTAACATTTTCCAACAAATCGAGGGTGTACAGCGTGTTCATAATTTGCGTATTTGGGCTTTAAGCATTAATAAAGTGGCGTTATCTGTTCACTTGGCAATTGGTAAGTACAAACGCATATTTTCCGCCACTCACACACCCGCTCTATGCTAACCTCATGATATCCCCATAAGGCGGACATGTAAAATCACTTTCCATTTGCTGCCTTTACTACACATGTACCCCGTGTATTTACATACAGCAAATCCAGCAAACGGCCGTGAGCAAACTCACTTAATCATTTCATATTGTTCCGTTGTTAGAGCACGCATACATACACACAGGCACATTTATATGCATAGAAGTATTGTGTTTGTTTTATACGTTGGAGTTGGAGGTGGGGAATTTGAAAAAAAAAAAACAAAAATTGTGTTCGAATTTGTTTTGTGTCTCCAAGGATTGCCGTTGGAATCGATTGCAAGAGGTTTATCGCAACAACAAGTGTTTGTTGGCTCAGAACAGAGGATCCATTGTGGTTTAATTGCTATGTATTCTCGTTACGTACGAGCATTGTTTTCGTTTGAATATTAGGAATGGGAAAGATTGGAACAAATGTACTTTATTCAGTACTTCATAACTAACGGAAATGTAGATTAAAATGTCAGCACAATAATGTCATTGGATATTTTTGCACTTACTCCAAACAAGCAAAGTGATACTAAAGGAACATTATTCGGAAATCCGAGCATCTCCTCTACACTTTAATTGTCTCAATATTAGTCCAATTTCATATTCAGATATTTTTTCTATTTTTTTAATAACTTAAAATACATTTTTTTTTTAATTTGGAAATTCAAACGTTGTTTTTAAATATTTATAATTATTACAATTTTAAAATATATCCACTCCTCTTTTACAATTTAGAAATTTTCCATCACTGGCGTTCAACGCGTTCATATGTCTCCTGTTTGTTTGCTGCTAATTTCATTTCTTATCATTATTGCATTTATAATTTCCAAAATACATTTTGCTGTGTAATTATGATTCCGAATATGTGTGTGGTTGTGTGTGCGTCTGTGTATGTTTACATGGAGGGTTTTGATACTTCTTGGTCGTGTCGAACAAGGCTAATGATTGTTACTTGTTATCATGTAATTTCATTTAATTTTGCATTCATATTCAAAATTTTGTTGTTGGTCAAAAATGTTGCTGATCAATTTTATGGATGTTTACTCCATTGTAAATTGGGTATAATATAATTGTGTAACATCATGGCGTGACCTGTATATGTTAACATTATCATGATTATAATAAGCGTTATATTTTAGAAGGGTATGAGGATATTTACAATATTTTGCGAGGAAATATTTGTAGTAGCTAAAGAGTTAATTAGTATAAGGTGTGATTCTATTATTTTTATTTTAAGGGTAGGAATTTATGTTTGGTGAAAGTTTTTAAGTTTTATTTTCCTTTTTTCGCATTAATAAGCATTGAATTTGTATTGAAATTTCAACAACAACTTTTAAGAATTAAAACAGTCAGCCCATTCCATTGGTGGACCTCAGACCTCAAGCATTTTATTCCAACCGAAGTAGCATTAACATAGCATATCATTCTGAATGGATTGGAATTCTCCAGGCGAAATTATCACTTTGAGTCCAATTTTCTTTTTCTCAGTATTTTTGGGATTACGATGGATAAAAACTCTAGTTTCTCCACCTAACAAAAATTGACAATACTGACGCAGCTTTATGGAACCATCAAAGGTGCCAATGGCCTAAAATTGTAAAATAGTCTTTTTGTGTCACTGGAGTGTTTGCAATCCCTTAGGAGTACAATTTCACACATTTTTGTATCTCCAAATTACTTCGTTAGTTGGCATTGTTTTTGCATCTTTCCATGTAAGATTATTTCGTCTAAGGTTCTCGGGTTATTGCTCGTCGCCAGATGTTTCTTTGTCGTGGGCCTTGGAGAACTCTTTCAAGCATCATTCCGGTTATGCTATGGACATTTTTTTCTTAAGATGTGGCCAAATTCTGGTGGTACACGACACCTCTTCTGTTGGTCAATTCTGGTCGATTGCTATCTTCCAACGGTCCAGTTGTTGACAGTACAGATCAGGATTTAGCGTTTGGCAATATGGAAGCAGCTCGTACTAAATAATCCCCTTCCTGTCCATCCAAATGCATAGCAGCCCACGATCGTTTTCGAACAGGGTTATCGTATGTGATCCATTTCTCATCTCCAGTTACCATCCGTTTAAAAAATGGGTATATTTCATTCCTTTTTTCTGTTAATTGGTGTGGCACCCAAACGTCGAACTTCTTTTTGAATCCAGCTTTGTGTAAATTGTTTAAAACAGATTCGTACGGTGTTGGTCTGGTTCGCACAGCTTACATTTGCTATAAATCTAGCATGATAATAGTTTAGAATGATTTGTATTTGCCTTCTGGAAATCGATAGGTACATGTATGTTTCTGAGTAATTCTTGGTCGCCGTATGCCACTGTGTTGTCGATAATGTATTAAAACTGGTAATTTTCTATATTCAAAAATTTCCTGGACAAAACTATCTAACTTTTTGATTTCTTTACCATTTAATAATGTCATCGATGCATCTATTCCATCCATAATTACTATGAACTATATATCTAAAACTATTGATATTCATTATTTTCATGCAATTCCTTTTCAAGGAAACACAAATAAATGCATGAGTGACAATTGCTCAGCATACAAAAGGACAAATAAAGGCATAGCCAGTCGAGGAAACATTAACATGAACATTGCCATGGGCATCATCGTCGTTGTCGCCGCTATTGTCACAATTGTTATGCCCAAAACGACAATGCACATAATTTGGGCTAATTTCCGTCTAAATTGCAAAGTTGTTATTTCATGAAGCGATTTTTTTTTGTTTAACACATAGAACACACATTTAAGGGCGCAACATTGGTTATATAAAATTGGGGGAAGGTATCCCAAACCTCCTATTTCATAACATGGATGAAAGTTCCCCATTATCTTAAGCCAGCAATTATTTCAGCATTTAAATAAAAGTACAGCAAAAAATGCTTTTTCGATTTTTTTATTCCCAACTATGGCAGACAGTCCAACGTCGTGTTATGGGAATGGTGTGCGTGGAAGTTAACACAGCACCACAGGTGGCGAGTTGTTTGTCCGGCTACACCCGCACATTTAACCAAAATTGTGTTCCAAACAAAACATACATCCCATACACAAGTTCTATGTTAGTATATATATGGGATGTAAAGTGTTTGTGTGTGTGTGTCTGGGATTTCAAATGAATTCAGAGATACCCCTATGAGAAAAATTGCATACAAAAGTGTTTTTCATTTAAAGTTTTGTATTTAAAATAATACCAAATGTCCATAGAAAGAACGACGACGGTGCGTTATCATTTGGTTCGAAAGACAGGCTAGTATGTTGTTGTACACTCCTCATTCCATTGGTTGACTAGTGATGGTGTGTGGATGTGATGTTGTCGTTGGCGACCCTGTCGGCAACCATGATGACGGTCATAACGATGCCGCTTTTGATTATGGTGTCGGGTTTGGCGTATTACCCTGCTACTGGTACTGGTTTGTTACAAACCGTGTTGATAGTTGTGAGTAAAGATGATAAAGTTTGTTTGGTGTATGTTTTTAATAGTAAAGGGGGTTTGAATTTGGGATGATGGGAATCACTTGTTATAGCTTCAATGAGGATACACACTTTGACACGATCACGAATGTGTCTAATCGAAATATCGGTTTGATTGGACTAAATATATTTCAACAATTTTCGTAAATTTAGGTTGATTGTTGTTGTTATACCCTCAGCCTTAAGGCTAATGAGGATATACACACTTTGATACGATCAAGCATCGAAACTATAACTATTCGATTTGATTTAACATTTGTTCATCAATATATCCATGGCATACATACGTTTCTTCTTTGCTATATTTTAAATTATCTCCAGTTCCTGTAAAATATGGGGACCACCAATCCGCTGTTTTCAGCATAGAAAATATTGAAAGGCTATCAAATTATTGAAAAATGTTTAGAATATTGAGTAATGTATCAACACAAAACATCATTAGCTTCTCTTCACTTCACAATTTCTACAATTACACTATTGGCCAAGTATCCATTTTTTTTTTTTTTGTCAAAAAGTCTATTTTAGGTAGAGTCCATAAAATGTTATATATTTCAAATCTGGAAACTTGTACAATATAATTGTGTAACATTGTGGTCCGCGGTTTACGGTCGATGGTCGATTTTTAGCTCCTGGGCGATGTTACGACTGCTAATATGCCGATCGATAATTTCTCCGATTTTATCGGCGACCGGCCTACCGGTGCGAGGTGCATCTTTAACATCAAAAAATCCTGAACGGAATCTACGAAACCAAAATTGAACATAATTGGCTGCTACAGTATGGGAACCATAAACACCATTCACAATTTTAGCCGCTTGGCTTGCATTTTCGCCTTTGTCAAAGAAAAACTGTAAAATGTACCGAATTTTCTCTTTGTTCACTTCGATTTTTAACACCCTTTAACACACAACTGAATGCACCAAACAAAAAACAGCAAAATATTTTTTTACTGCGAAATTTCGATGTGATCGATAATTTACGAGAAATCTATCAGTAAAACCATCTGCCGAAAAAAAATTATAGGTTCTCTCTCTAGCGTCTTCGAACCGCTTATATCTGATATTTATTTATTTATTTCATAAATCCACTACTATAGCTATAGCACCAATTGACGTCTTGATAGGTTCTCCCTCTAGCGTCTTCGAAACCCTTTTATCTGATATCTATTTATTTCATAAATCCATCACTCTAATTATGGCCAAAAATTGATCTCTGGTCCATAGTGAATTGTCAACATTTTGACGTAAATTATTGCCAAAAATAAAAATTCCAATTACAAAAAATTATATCATCCCAAAATAACCTCTCTCTATTTTTACAAAAATACAAAACTAAAATTTTTGGTTGTAGGGGAGTACAACTTAATTTAAAATTGTTAACTTTTTTGTTATTATCTGGAAACTATGAGAATTGTAGTTGCTGTTGGGTCCTGTAGTTTTGCATGGCATTGTGGAATTATTGTAAGTGTGTGTGTTGTTGTGTTCTTTCGCCCTGAACTACTAAATAATAATAATAATTATAAGAGTAATGATGATGCTGGTCATGATCATCGACAGCATCGACGGCACTGGCCATCAGCCGGAGCATTCAGCAGCATGATGCTCATGCTTACTTGCTGATTATTGTTAGTTTTATTTGTATTTCAGTATTTGCGTTTTGTTTTGTTGTGTTGCATTGCATTGTATGGGTTATGTGTTGTGTTGTGCTGTGCTGAGCTGAGCTGTGCTGCGTTGTGTAGTGTTGTGTTGCATTCCACTCTACAAAACTCACTTAAAAACTCGGCTCATTATGGTTTATTGGCTTTCTACAACTTAACTTAATTTCAAATACTTCAAAGTTAAACTCTAATAAGGATGTTATCGTTGTCGTTATTGTTGTGATAGTTTGGGTTGGTATTTTCAATTATTGTTGTTGTTGTTGCTGTTAGCAATGATGCAGCATGGGGCAACTTTTCCTAATTGCCATGGCCGCATTGCAGCCATTGTCATTTAAACCAAATATTTTTTTTTTTCAAATCCTAAATTTTATTTTGTTCTCCTACATTCCTGTATTTTTTGAATGGGAGTGTCTTCAGAAAAAGAAGTTGGTTCAATTTTCAAGCAATAAATTTCGAAGTGAAAATAAATCCCGCAACTTTTGCTTTCCACATGACTTGAGATGTTCTCTAGCATCCGTTTAGCATTTATCATTTCGCTTTCATAAAACGTTAAAGGAACTTGTCTTGTCTCCCAGTGGTAGCACCTTTTGATGTTTTTTCTTGTTTTTTTTTTTTTTTAAGTTTTAGAAAATTTCGTTGTGTGCAAGGTTAGATCCCAACTTCCTGTAACCATAAAAAACTTTCAAAAAAATATCCACTTTTTTGCCCGGGATTTGTTTTCGGCAAGTCGAAATAGAAAACGAAGAAGATTTAAATTTTTGCCCAAAAACACTGGGAAGAGTGTAAAAATTCCCAAGCACTGCATTTAAGCAATTTTTGTTCTTCAGAACTTGTAAAATATTACGATTTGTGAACACACTCTATGTGTATTGGTTTTTACTACTACTACTACTAACTGTGGGTACACCTTTTGTGGTGTGGTGCATTATGCGTTTGTTTTCATTTTTGTTCTTTTATTGTTTGACTATAACTTCAACTTCTGCCACAACTTGAGCGTTAGTCATTTAAAATAAATGTTGGAACACTAAGGCAAAGGATGCAATTTTGTCTAATATTTTGGAATGGTTTGTAGTTTTGCTATTTCAGGTATATATATATTAAAAAAAATCAATGGTGAATTGAGTTCCTAACAAAAAAGAAAAGTTCAAAAGTTAGTTGTCTGCTGCTTTGCAATATCTTAAATCTAAATGTTGGTTATGAACGAACGAATGAATGGTTTTTGGACGCTCAAGATAATATTTGGTAAAAAGTTGTGTTATTGTATTTTAAACTTGGAATTTGTAAGTTATTCTCAATAAACATTTTTACAAGAGGTTTCATTTAAGAAAATTTAATATTAAACACAAGAATAATTCTAGGCGTTTCAATAAAAATCTTTCCAAACAAGTAGTACTGAATTCGAAAAATATGACACGGACAAATTATTTTAGCCTTCCCAGAGATATGGTTTGCCCAAGTTTGCAATAGCAAAAAATAGATTTTCAAAACCAGATTTTCAAAAAATAAACTCGTTTTAAATGTAAACATTTTAGTTTATCCTTTAGAATATAAAAAAAAACGTTAAAACCCCGTTCGCTTGTACGATATTATTGATCTGCCTTTGTCTTCAATTTCCCGAAAAAAATCCACATATTAGGTTCAATTCGTAAAATGTCGAAAAAATCGGAGAAATGATCGAAGTTGACTGGCATGTTAGCAGTCGTAACATCGCCCAGGAGCTAAAAATCGACCATAAAACAGTTTTAAATAATTTACACAACGCTGGATTCAAAAATATAGGATGATTCGAATTTCCATATGCGAAGCCTTGGCCAAACGAAATGAGATAGACCCATTTCTTAAACAGATGGTGACGAGATGAGAAACATTATAAGATGTGTGAAAACGATCGTGGACAAAGAGCGGTGAAACACCTCAAACGGTGGCCAAAGCAGAACTAACGGCTATGCATTTGGTGGGACTGGAAGGGGATTATTTATAATGAGTTGTGGTTTCATATGGCCAAACGCTAAATTCTGATGTCTACTGTCAACAACTGGACGGTTTGAAGATAACAATTGATCAGGAACGTCCAGAATTGGCCAACAGGCGAGGTGTCGTATTCCATCAGGACAACGCTAGGCCACGCACATCTACAGCGACTCGCCAGAAACTTCAGGAGCATGGTTGGGAAGTTTTAATGCATCCACCATACAGTCCGGACTTGGCACCAAGCGATAATCATCTTTTTCTTGCATTGAAAAATTTCGTTAATGATAAAATATTGGTATCTAGGAAGGATTGTGAAAGTCGACTACGAGAGTTTTTTGCTAATGACAACAAATCTTACAATAAAACTGTGCATATGGGACATTTCGAAGCATGTTAAAGAAAGTCCTACAGTTCATATAAAAATAATAGATTCCTCTTTCTCCAGCCTAATATATGATTATCACATATATTTTGTGCATCTGTTTTAAATTCAAAATGCCATTATATTCCCACAATACCACTATTTCGAATTGCAGTTCCTACTACTTCAAATTTCCCAGTCTGTATTTTACATAAATAAATTTGGTGTAGATTATAAATTAAAACCCGGAAAGACTAGCCAATAACGTTAATGAACCCAAGCTGTTTGAGTTTTATTTACAACTACACAATTTCAACAGACCTGCATTATTTTATTTCTTGGATCTGTTTATGCAAATGATCAGAACACAGCTACTAACACTGGGATAAAGTGAAAAATAAAGAAACCCATTTCTTATTTTGTCTTGGGAAAATAGAGAAAAAACAAAACAACAACAACAATGAAAAAACTCAAAAATTGGCAAAGATAGTTTTCTGTTACTGTTGTTTGCTGATTTCTTCTTTTTCCTTGTATTTATCCTATGATACTGCTGCAGTGTTAACGGAATATTGGTAAGACTTTCCTAAGAAGAATTTGTTGTTCGGCATTCTTTGCTCTGACATTTGTGTTTGGCTTTGACATGCACGTGCGAAAATGCAATTTGCATTATAGCCAAATAAAATAAGTAACAAGCCATGGACTTTGTCTGGCTGCAATGAAGACAGCGACGACGAATTGAATTTTCAAAGTTTTGCTCATCTTTCACCTTTTGCGGTGCGGGGCAAGAAAGGCCCGAGGAAAATTTGAATGTCTGGAGGTAATACTGAAGATTTGCATTTAGCATTTATATTGATTTATTTGTGTCGTTCTTTTTTGTCTGAATGTTTGTCTATCTCCAGCTCAGTCGGGTTGGTGTCTACATTTTTGTTTGCATCTTTAATGATTATATTCTGTTAGTGTTATATTCTTTTTTCTTGTTTGCTGATTTAGTATGTGTTTTCATTCCATTTTAATGTTTTTTTTTTCTTTCTTCTTTACAGCTGAAGGTGCTGATCCCAAAAAAATAATGCAGGAAGCCACCACTGCTGTTCATATGCGTTACAACTTCTTTGAGACAACCATACAAATTGAGGATTTCACACCCGAAATGGAAACCTGCACACAGTGCACTGTGCCAGAAGTCTGAGTAAACGAAATGATGACGATGACATCAACCGGAGATGCCGTGAAGGGTTTGGTTGCCGCATGCTTCGTTATTTACTTACAAACATATACGACGAGTACGATTTCTGCTTCTTCAACAACTTCTTTCATTTCATTCCAACCAACAACCACTTGAAAAAAAAAAACTGACATCCTTTTATATATAGGGAGGCACACCGACGATATCCAATTCTCACACTCGCAGAATTGAAACATTGCATGGACACATGTACGTTTAAAAAGCATATACAGATCCAGGGTGCCCCAAAAAAAATTGGCCGATACGTGGTCTACCTCAAGAAAGTATATATCTTTAAAATATTTCCTTCTGCCTTCTGTAACACTGAAACTCATATAAATGTTCAAAATGCTATTTTAATCTATTGCTCATATTGCTTACAAAATTCTGATTAAATTTTTTATATAGCGCTCATTTATCTTGGCTAAGTTTCAAATACAAATCGGATTTGATCGTTGATTTTGGGGCACCGTGTTTTAAAATGTTATTACATACTGTTGTTGGTTTTGTTTTCTTTTGGGGGAATATAACTTTGTCATTTTTCCCATTCTCTTGTTAGTTTCGATAGTTGTTTTGTTTTTTGTTGTTGTTAAAGTATAATTCAACAATAATAAAAAAACAACAAACCGAAAAAAATATTACTCGTTGTTGCCTCCCTACCGAGCTCTCCCACCCTTTGGAAAAGCCAATGTGTTAAATTACAAGAAAATTATATTTTTTCATATGTTTTTTGTTTGTTTTTATTACAGTCTTATATTTTGTATTCTCTTTTGTAGTTTTATTCATGTTGTTAAACTAAAATAATAGTTTAAAGAAATTTGTTACAATTTAAGCTCAAGCATATTGCATTTGTTATAAAAAGAAGAGAGAGAAACAAAATTATTTGTTTGTTATATTATCTTTTTAGTTATGCTATGTATGTACGTATGTATTATTTAAAATATATATATTATAAAGAAATAGTATTTTAGTTTTATAATTTTGTAAAGAACAATATTATTACTGCCTAATCAAAGATTATTGCATACAACAAAACGACCTACATATATGCAACACTTTGTTGTTTTTGTGGCACAAATGAACAACAATTGAATTATTTTGAGTAAGCAACTTACACACACACATACATAATTACACAAATATATGGCATTCTAACAAATTGAATATATATACATACATATGTTACATTGTATAAAATATATTATTAAGATTGTTTAAACGTAAATTCCATGTTCTTCAACATAAATAACACAGATACTTTTCATATTTGTCTGTTCAAAGGTTCAACGAAACCATTGAAATAGAATAGAAAGCCTTATATAACTTAATAAAATGAAAGTTTATTAAATATTTTTATATGGAAAGTATTGACTTTGGATTATGATGGAATGGGTGGTTTGTTGGTGTAATATACTGATCTAGCATTAAGAATTTTATTTTAAATAATTAAGACAAATTAATACAAATATGTGGGTATAGATTCAATAAATTTACAATTATTTTACTATTTGTTATACACATGTAATATTTAATTATTATTTTGTAAAGGAAAATTTGAGTTCGGTGTTCAAGTCTGTAAATTTCTTTTTTGATAGTTAAAGAGTGTCTTAATGAAAAGTATTTATTTGAATGTGGAGCATATCTAGTGGCTGTACTAACAAGTGGAAAATATTTATTATTTTTAGTACATTTCCTACTTAGTGAGAATCCAAAATATCTATTTACAGCCGACTATTAAACATATTAAACCATAAACATTCTAGGAGTAGTAACAATGTATGGGCAAAATTTCAAAGATCTGTCCCAAATATTAGAATTCGCAATATTTGGAATAGATCTTTGAAATTTTGTCTTGTTACTGGTTTGGTCAAGAATATATATACTATATGCGGTCTCAGGTGTTGCAAATGGAATGACAAATTTAATACAAACTTCACTTTGCGATGGGTGTGCAACTATATCCGGTATTTTATATATCCGTAACTATTGCATACTACGATTTTTTCTTACATAATATCAATTTATATATGCTCTTTCGGTTTGTAATAAAGCTTCAGAATTTCGTCTAACCATAGCTGACAAATTTATAAAAATCGGTTAAGTATTCGCTGTGTTATTTGCATTTGAAATTGCTCATGTTCCAATCTATACTCACTGTTCGGCACTTGGCGCCGAACAATGAGTCGGCAGTATATTACAAAAATAACAGATATATTGAAAACTCGATGGCTTGCCACAGAAGTGATAATTGTTATTAAATTTGTACTAAAAATCTAAATATCCTTCCCTTTAATCATGCTCGTGGTGGTAATTTTGGCGGATATTGTTTTTTATTATTACGCTTTTTATACCTTCCGCAAAAACATAATACCCGGTACCTCACCGTGGTGAAGTATAGAATAGGCTGCCCAAATTGACTATTCAACATTTTACACAAAAACTTTCACATAATGCTAGTTTTCTCATATATAACATAATGTTATATATGTATCATCAATATGTGATTAATCTTTGGAATTTCCTCTAAAATTGTCTGTAAAAATTTTGAAAATCGGTTAAGTATTCGCTGAGTTATTTACATTTGAATTCATTCATCCTACGAAATATACTTACTGTTCGATGCTGGGCGCCTATTACTCAAAAATGAAAATCTCTCAAAAATCGGACATTTAAAAACAGCAAAATTTTTTCTAATGCCTGCGTTAATGAAAATGTGAAGCATATCCGTGGGCGCAAACAAAATACGTTTTTCAACACTGGCTAGCATGACCCAAATGGGACAATTTATGATATACTTCTTTTTGTTATAACTTTTTGCTTAGTAGACGTATAACGATGGAATTGGTGTCATATGAAAGGTTAAAATGTGGACTAGCAACGTGTTGGCAGAAAATGTATAAATAATGTCGGTAACAAACAAAAAAATCCGTTTAATGCAATACTTCGTAAATTTAATAGTTTGGACATAATATCACAATATTCTAAATTTGGCCATCTTAAAGTAGAGTTTTCACTCTTTCAAATGACACCGATTTTGTGGTAAACGGACAATTATTGCGAAAGTTATAAGCTTTTAAAGGTACGTGAAAGAAAAATACGTTTTACAACACTTGTTAACACCTCGTAATAGCGCCATCTATTGATGCGCATGACCCCACAGAGACAAAATTTTTCAAAAAACCCGATTTTTGATGTACTTATTTTTATCATAACTTCGTATTTAGTAGACGTATAACGCTGAAATTGGTGTCATATGAAAGGTTAAAATGTGGGCTATCAACATGCCTGCAAAGAGAGTAAAAATAATAAAGAATACTAAATGAAAAATGCGGTTGATACAATACTTCGTAAATTTAACAGCTTAGGCATAAAACAAAAATGAATTGAATATATCCATCATAAAGTAAATCTTTCACTCTTTTATGTGACACCGATTTTTTCACAAACGTGCATTATATGCGAAAGTTATAAGCTTTTAAAGACAGGCGTCTTAAAGGCGGTAAATATTGGATCGTAGACCTCTTATAAGGCTTGAATTGAAATGATATTAGTTATTCTCAATAGTAATAGATGTTTACTGTATTTTCATGTTTTTAAAACAAAAATTAACTTATTATTTGCACGAAAATTTCCATTTGTACATTTTTTGAAATTAGCCAAAAATACCATTTAAGAAAATGAGTTTTCGATTTTGGATCATAGCTATCAATAGATGACGCAAGACACATGTCTTAACCAGTGTTGTAAAAAGACACAAAATTGCATATGTATGGTTTTGGATCCATTATATTAAAATTAAGCTATTTACTTCTTCAAATGACAAATGTTTAATGGTAATGAAACTAGTTTTGCAAATGTTGTAAAATAAACATAGATTTGCGAAATAAGTCTACCGTTTTTAATAATGCTCAGTGTTGTGCTAAATTTAGCTGTACATTTTAAATTTTGTATCCCTACGATAGTCTTTTAGTTACATTTTAAAAATTTAATTAGAAATTAGAAACGTTAAATATATAAACATAAATTTATGACTTTATCAATTTAAATAAATAGAAAAAAATCATAATGATGTACGAATTGTTGGTATTTAATAACACTTCAGAGTTTGTGCAATTTTTATAAAAATCGCTTAAGTATTTGCTGAGTTATTTGCATTTGAATTCAACCATTTTGGTGCTGGGCGCCGAACAGCGAGTCGGCAATATATTACAAAAATAACAGATATGTTGAAATGTCAATGGCTTGCCATAGAAGTCATAATTGTTATTAAACCTAAAGATCCTTTCCTTTAATCAAGCTTATGGTGGTAATTTTGAAAGATATTGTTCTCCATTATTACGCTTTTCATGTCTTTCGCAAAGAAATAATACCCAGTAGCTCACTATGGTGAAGTATAGAACAGGTTGCCCAAATCGACTATGCTACAGTTTACCCAAAAAGCAGTCAATAATTTACATATCTTCAAACTTTCACATAATGTTAATTTTCTCATATATAACTTAATTGTATACATGTGACATCAGTACATAATAAATCTTTAGAATTTTCACTAAAAATTTCTGTAAACATTTTGAAAATCGGATAATTATTCGCCGAGTTATTTACATTTGAATTCATCCATCCTCCGAAATATACCTGCTGTTCACTGCTGGGCACCTGTTACTCAAAAATGAAAATCTCTCAAAAATCGGACTTTTTAAAAACAGCAAAATTTTTTCTAATGCCTACCTTAATGAAAATGTGAAGCATATCCGTGGGCGCAAACAAAATACGTTTTTCAACACTGGCTAGCATGACCCAAATGGGACAATTTTTTGATGTACCTCTTTTTGTTATAACTTTTTTGATAGTAGATGTATACCGATGGAATTGGTGTCATATGAAACGTTAAAATGTGGACTAGCAACGTGTTTGAAGAAAATGTGTAAATAATGTCGGTAACAAACAAAATATCGGTTTAATGC